TATGTGTACTACTTATGTACGCACGTAAGAATTTATACTTCTTTAACTTATCAAAACGAACATAACCTCAATAACCTCAAAAATAACTTCAATTTTCCCGCGCATCGTAAATTATCGACAACTTCGTGGGTGTCGATTTTTCGGTCGCATTTAACTTCACTTTCCAAAACGCGCCAAAAGAGAAGTATAACTTCAAAAAAAAAAAAAGAAAAAGTAAAATGAATAAGAAGAAGAAGAAAAAGAAGAATAAGAAGAAAATATAGAAGAAGCGTATTGCCTCGTGAAACGTTTCGTGGAAAAGGTTTCCCCTTATATATAGTCGCGGTACCGTGGCATTAAACGAAGCTCCGAGATGATGGTGAGAGAAGTTGTTAGAAGGGTTGGAAACGACGGAAGAATAAGAGGGGAGAAAAAAAAGAAAGGAAAAAAAAAGGGAAAAAAAAGAGAGAGGATCAACTATCGTCGTAGGTTCGTTCGGGGGGAGGAAAAAAAAGGGCTTCATCGGGAAAGTGTCGAGAGTAATTTTATAATACACATTTCGACCGAATATAAAAGATATATTTTTACTTTCTTCTATTTTTCTTTTTCTTTTTCTTTTTTTATATATTATATATATATATACTTTACTCTGTTTTATTTTTTCCCCCATTCTCCAACCCTTAGACCCCCTACCTCCAACTCTCCACTCCGTTAATAAACTCCATTTGTGAAACGAATTTACTTATACGTACTAAATCATGCATATATACGTATAACCATAATTATGTTAATAAAAAAAAAAAAAAAAGGGGTAAAGGAGTTTCCTTTTCCCCATTTATTTTCGTTGTTCTTTTTTTTCTTTCTTTCTTTTTTTTTTTCTTTTTCTTTTTCTTCTTCTTCTTGATAGGATTCACCATCAAAAGAAAATTGTAAAGGACCAGGACGACGTACAGGAAAGAGGGGGAAGAGGAAGGGGTAGGGGTGGGGCTGCAGAAAGACGACAAAGTTTCCTTTTAAGAGTTGTGCAAAGTGGCCTCGATCGTTCGTGCAATTAATTTGCATCATCCATTAGACTTCGCGCAACAAGCAAAACCCCCTAACAAGTATCGAGGGAAAAGGAAAATTGACGTTATACTATTATGGAAATTTGTATATGTATTTGTATGTGTATAAAAACTAACACCCCCCTTTCTCCTCCTTCACCTCCACCTATATTACATCGTCGTACGTTGCAAAACATACGTATAATCTTGTTACTCATCGAAATTGTTTTAAAACGTTGATAACAAATAAATGAACAATGAAGAAAAGAAAAGAAATATACAAACCAAAAAAAAGGTAATAAATAATTGTATTATTAGATTAAACAATCAGTACTCGTGTCGTCCAAATGGTTTTAAATGTATGTAACACATTTCAGAAAGTGTATGTGTATGTGTGTTTTAGGAACGATAAAGTTGAATAAAAATTGCAGGATTCCTCTCCCTGGGGAAAGAAGGACAGGATAGGAATTGAAAAAAAAAAGAGAGAGAGAAAGAGATAGAGAGAGAGAAAGGGAGGGAAAAAATAAAATTAATCGTATTTTTCGTTGACAAAAAAAATACCTATATACGTATACGTATATGTATACATACAATCGAGATATAACGCGTAAATCAAAAGCATCGCTAAATCATTGGACCGTGTCGTGTAAAACTACCCTCGTAGACCAAGCAACGATTCTCATAAGGGCCATACCTTTTCCTTTCAAGGTCTTACGAGAGGAGGACCCAAGAGAAGAAGAACAGTTGCCCTCTCACCAATTCGAAAACTTGTTCGCGAAATATCTCGATGCCATATTTTACTGTGAGTTCGATTATTGTTCTTCATCCAACTTCTCTCTCTCTCTCTCCCTTTCTCTCTCTCTCTTTCTAAGGCGATAAATCCTCCAGGAGGTACGCTCCTTCGGGATATACCTGCTTTTTCCCCCCCCTCATCGTTTCTTTTTTCCATCTTCATCTTCTTCTTATTTTTCTTCTTTTTTTTTCTTCTTTTACTACTTTCGTAGAAAAGAGCTGCTTCTTCTCGAGATTACACAAAGTGTGTGTGTGTGTGTATGTAGATAAAATGATGTGTGTAGGTATGTAAGTAAATTCGGTGTAAAAAAAAAAAAAGAAAAATCAAAAGAAAGGAATAGTAAGATAGGCTAACTATTCTATGAAAGTATATATATATATGTAAGGGGTGTGATGGTGTTACATAGAAGGACTCACCTTTACCGTCAAGTTCCCATTGGGAAAAGTCTTGACGACTGGGTTCTCGTTCGGAGCATAACGATAAAACTCTCGACCCCCTTTGTACCACTTGACTGCATACAACGGGTCTTGTTCTATATCATACCAACAATTCAGCAATGCTGTGTCTCCTTTCCTGACGGCTGTCGGTATCTGGACACGTACTTCTCGCAGACCAGAACAGATTCCTGACGAATATAATAACAGAAAATGATTATCTTTCAATATATATATTTTATATAATATTCCATAAAATATAATATAATACGTGCTCGTAATTATGTGATAGTGATCTAAATCCAAATTTTATAACACAAAACGAATTAAATTTAACAATATTATTTATTTCACACCGCATTATTTGAAATATCAATTAATTTGATATAATTTTCACGATACATTGTCAAAAATGAACCCGTTAATAGGTGTGTGTGTGTGTTTGTTATTTCAATATTATAATATAGAATTCATTTAACGTTCAAATGTGTAATCCTTTTTAATTATCTCGAAACAAGATTTACATGAGAGATTTATACCACTTATATAATTATCGATACATATATTTAAGGTGAATATCAAAAGTTTCACTAGTTTTACAAAAAAAAAAAAAAATAAAAAAAAAGCAATAACAATTAATTATGCAGTTTCAAAGTAAACTTTCAACAAATTCGTGAATTTAAACTCACGAACTTTTAATTCAAGCTTAATAATTATAATGAATTAATCAGTATATCAATAGTCAACGATTGTTCCCATGCTAATATGATTATTAATTACAAATATTACATATGTGTGTGTGTGTTTTCGTTCGAATGAACTTGATATATTATATATAGTTACGAATATGATATTATGCGTATATCAATTTGAACTTTGACTTTACGCAGTTTGTGTCAATGAAACCGGGCCAAGGATTGGATTGGATGAGATGGGATGGGAATGAGAGATAAGTGAGGTGTCATTAAAATTTGAACTTCAACGTTTTCGACGAATGGAATGGAATCTCTTGCGTAATTAGATCAACCCGATTAAGTGTCGGAAACGAAGAGGAGAGTAAACGATTAACGCGATGTGACTCGATCGTGTTTTCAAGCACTTACCAAAGAGAAGAAAGAAAGACAAAGAAATGGAAAGTGTGTGTGTGTGTGTGTGTGTGAAAGAGAGAAAGTGTTTGAACGTTTGCAAACCGGGGTAGGTATAGTTAAAGTTTTCTACGATTAACCCTCGAAGTATTTCATAAATTACACCACCTCCTTTTTTCATTTTCTTTCAATCGATTCCGCGTGTATACCTGTGTTCCACCATTTATTCTTCTTTTTTCTCGTCGACCTTGAAACTCGTATAATACAATACTAAAATTATTCCAAAATGTCGAGTAATTTGTTTCCATTGTAAATTTAATTCGAAAATTTCATCAACATTTTTATCGTTCGTATGTTTTTTTTCCCTCTTATTTATTTCACCCAAGTTTAACTAATTCAACTGACAATTTGATTTTCTTACGTGAATGAGAAAAAAAAAGCTGACTAGTCTAACTCGTTAGAAATATAAGTAAATAAATAAATAAGTACGTTGCAGTAGTAATCGTTAGAATTTTAACGCCGATCATGAATAGGATTCTTTTTGATATTTTTCCTCCTGTCGCAACGCGGTAGGAAAAATTTCTGCTCGTTCTTGAGAACGAGTTAAAGAGAAAGATAAAGAGAAAAAGAGAAAAAGAGAAAGAGAGAGAAAAAAAAACAAATAAATAAATAAATAAAGAAAGAAAGAAAGAAAGGAAGACGAAGAAATCGTTCTCGCACGAAAAGGAGAATGGGGGCTTCGGAATAAATCGGGTCGCTTGCCACGAAGAATTACACTACGTTTTCGTTATAAAAAAGGCGACTAGAGTTTATATCTTTTTTTTTTCCTTCTTTTTTTTTAGCAACGATCCATTCAAGACGTTTCTTGCGGATAGGAGGGGGGAAAAAAAAGAAAAAGAAAAAAGAAAGAATGAAATAAACAGAGACGAATCTACAGAAGGGTCGTGAACACCGTGTTGCAACAAAATGGAAAATGACACGAAGAAAACTACGTCTGTGTGATGGTGGTGGTTTTTAAAAGAAGGGATGAACGTTATCGCCAAACCTAAAACGGAAAAGCCTAAAGCATTTGCAGCAGGTTATGTCATACTTCTCATCGGTTTATGCTAGGCTCGCGTGTTTCAACCCTTTAACACCTGTACTACTACTACTACTACTACTACAATTGCGTAACATTTTTCATCTGTTAAACAACAGTACCAAAGGTGTTACTCCGTTTGGAGAATAAGGTGAAAAAGAAAAACGAGAAATGAAATAAAATAAAATAAAATGTAAAAAAAAGAAAAGAAAAAAAAAGAAGAAATTATTACCGAGGGAGAGTAGGTGGAAGAAAAATTTATTCGTCCTAAGAGATATATGTATCGCTAACAGAGGATTCAACATTTCGATTCATCCCTTTAAACTTCTACCCTACCCCTTCCTAGTCCTCCCCCACAACGAACGGGAGGTCAAATGAACGGTTTTACATTTTTAATCAAACTTAACATTCTGTGCAATTGTTTGCTTTTCCTTTGTTTTTTTTTTCCTTTTTTTTTTTTATCTTCGAGATAAATATTGAAACATTTTATATTTCAATATTGTTTTATAATAATTGATTATATTTTATGATAATGTAAAATTGATGTTTAACCGTGGTTACCGATTATAGTTTGAAAAGATATGCATTTAACTGTGTTGTGATAAGTTTGATGTTATATTGTATTAATTATAAATACCGTATTATTGTTATCGCGCGTAGATGAATTGTTTTATTTGTTATTTTATTCGATATCAAATTAAATTAAGTATTATTCGTATGTATTAATAAAAAAAAAAAATAATATATATATACTTGTAACACTCTTGATAATGACCGGTTATTTGATCGGTTACGTTATAAATGCGTATACAGATATACATAAATCGTCAGAAAGGTATAACGTTAATGGCTCTTTCGTTTATTGCATTTAATCGTAAAATATACTGTTTTATTATTATTTAAAAAGAAAAAAAAAGAAAAAGAAAATAAATTGTTTTATTCATTACTCAAGTCGGCATATGCATTGGCTATTATTTATATTTTAAAAAGGTGAAAAAAAAACCAAAGAATATGAATTGCCAATGAGTTTAGTGTTAATGTACTCTCTCTCTCTCTCTCTCTCTCTCTCTCTCTCTCTCTATTGTTACAACGATTACAATGATCATTCTCATTTCGTTGAATTTCTCTTTTAGTATAACTATATTTAAATGGATTAATAATAATTGATATTTATAAAATGGTAAATGGTTAAGCGAATACGTTCGCATTCCTGTACGTAATACCTACTACAATTCTCATGGGATAAAATCATTGCAATGGAATCGACAGTTCAATGACGCACGATCGCATTTTATGTTCGAGTAGGGAAAAAAAAAGGAAAAAAAAAAATAGAGAAAAAGAGAGAGAGAGAGAGAGAGAGAAAGAAGAAAAAAGAAATCCCACCCCTTCGCAAAGCATTTTCTTCAGTTAAGAAAATAATAGGATACATATAATACGTATTTCAAGTGTGGTAAAAAGGAAATGACGTTTACTTGACGATGAAAATTTCTCTACCTCTCTCTCTCTCTCTCTCTCTTTCTCTTTCTCTCTTTCTCTTTCGTTAGATGCAATTTATTAGAACGCAGGAATAAGAATGAAGTAAAACAACAGTAGTGCTGATATTTACTTGAATATATATATATATATA